GAACCGCTGACAGAGACATGAGGATGTTTCGATGTTAGATTCCAATTACAATATCATAGAGATTATTTCAGATAGATGCATGGAGATCATCACCTGGTCAGGAGCAGAGACCGATCCAGCCGACCAGGGGTCACAGCGCGAGTAGAAAGTGTACATGATCAGACCAGATACCACAGCACAGAACAGAATGATCCACAGACCCAGCAGATTCAGATACAGAGCCCTGAGACACAAGAAAGAAACTTTGTGTAGCAACATGTTTTTTTTTTTGTTTGTTTTTTTCAAACATTCTGAAACCAGTATCCTGAAACCTGTTGACTGCCATTTTATTGGAGCTTAAAATAAAACTGGTAACACTTTACTTACAGCCTTTATGCATTATAATGCATTATAAAAGTAGTTTTAATTCATTAATTATGCCTTGTAATGCATCTTATAATGCACTGGACGATCTCATGAATAAGTGTAGCCACAGTTACATTATAACACTTATCAATTCATTGTGACACTATGCATTTTAAATTTGGTTATATTTATTTACAAAAAGATATAATGTATTACGATGCCCATTATGAATAATTATAACACATTATATCCTTTAATAACCCTTTATAATTGATTATACATAGAGACCTTAAGTAAAATGTTACCATAAAACTTTGAACTTTTGTACTTGGAAGGCATAAATGATATTTTAAGATACATTTCAATGGAAATGTATCTGAGTAGAAATGCAAAAGTAAGAGTAGGCTTACAATTATTCAGATTAAACAATATGCAGGTGCACTTATGCATTTGGAAGATACAAAGTGACACATTGCAATTAAGGTATATATTTTTCAGTTCATTTATTTCATTTCTTGACACATATTATGAATAATTTACGTTACAAGGACACAAGTGCAAAATTTCAAAAATGAAAATACAACTAATAATTAATTGCAACTGCAACTGCTCAAGTACACACTGTTAATGATGAAATGCAAAATGGGCCGATAATTGCATTTGTATGAACACATACATGTTTTTTATTTTAATTAGTAATAATGTAATTAGTTTCTGGTCAACATTTGTTAACAGGGATCATTAAATGTAATGAGTGCTCACCAGCGTGCATGACCTTCTGTTTTGCAAGAGATGCATCTCTGGATGGTTGACTGGTTTACTCCGTAGATGCCCAACCAGGTGAAGGTGCCGCCCACAGTGAGTGTCCAGAACGTGTGTCGCCTCAGTGGATTAATGTCAAAGCTGGAAACAATGGTGCACAAAAGTACTACACTGTAAAAAATAACCGTGAATTTAACGGTAAAAGACTGTAAAAATGTTACAGTAAAAACCTGTTAAATGGTTAACGGTAAATTCCCCTACTACATACGGTGAAAAACTGTATTGGACATTACATGTAATTTTACGTTAGTATACCGTTTTTGGAAGTGAAAAAGATCATATAATTTACAGTGAATAACCGTAAATTGTCATTCCCAGAATTCCCTGCATTCAATTTCAAATTTGATGGGGTTTTTTTTGTTGAAATAATTATGTTTCTTCTTAGTTTTTTTCTTATCAGTTTTGTATTTTAGGGTTATATGTTACACCTAATGTTGTTAAATTAATGTTTATTGCATTATTTCAGTTTCATGTGTGTTACCATGAAGGTGTTTAGTGTTTGTGTGAATGACACTGTGTACCTTCTATATATGTTATTATTTAAAAGCTGCTTGTGATGGGCTTTGGTTCATCATGTGACTTTCTTACCACCTGCATTTGGTGGTTATCAGTGTATTACAAAGGTACAAAACAGATTTCAGTACTTCAATAGGTTGGTATATTAACATTATATCAGTTAATGAAAAATTTTCATAGTCGAATTGGAATTTTTGAATCTTGCTGATAGTCGACTGATAGTCGAATCACATGTTTGGGGGTGGGGCAAAATACATTACCAAGAGTCAAGTCAGACATTCAAAAGTCATACGTTAACACACAGGGAAAATGTGTAACGGATGCCTCGCAGATACAAAAATAATGTGTTATGTTTTGATTAAAAGACATAGTTAACATTAACATCAGTGAACATTTTTTACAGTAGTGCTCTCATTATAACGTTGACAGTAGTTATTAATGTTCTGCATTTCTGTTTTGAGCTGCGCACTGAAGATGATCAGTGAAGCATTTGATAGCAGGTTTTTAATCAATGGGATTTAACTCATCATTTATCTCATATAGAAATGCTACCGTATTTTTTTATGGTAAAATTCCGGCAACCACAGCTGCCGGGTTTTTTTTACTGTGTCGCAAAGTGTCAATGTTCACATTTCTTCGCTGATGTTGGCAAACATTGTATAAATCAATATTTATTCTAATAAAATAGGTGTGCTTTCATTTTTGTTACGTATGGCATGAGTAGATTAAGTGTAGGTCTGCACACACATACTCAAAGACGTCCATTCTGCCTCCAGTGTGAGCTGTGCTCCAGACAGACTCAATCCCTCCCGCTCGACTCGCACCCTGGATCAGCACCGTGAGAAACCCCACCACCATCACCACCATCTGGAAGGCATCTGTCCAGACCACAGCCTTCAGCCCACCCTAAACACACACACACACACTGGCACTGTTTCTCCTGTTTCTGTCTGAGCAGAACGGCCCATTCACAAAACTTTAAACATTTCCCTCTGAATTACATATACAGTAATACTTCAACAGTTCATTCACACAGTTTGTGTTTTCTCATGAAACGCATAATAACTTTCTAGATGGAACAATATCAAAATTACTAATTGTTTCCCAAATTTGTCTTAAAAGTAGTTGATTCATCTGACACTCCAGGAATGCCTAAATTACGATGTTTTTGCTATTTTTATTTAAACAGGATATTGGAATTATTACTTTTCCCATTTTTTATTTACTGTTTATATATAATTATATAGAGAAAGTTATCCTTAATCTATTGTTCTGACCACATCCAAGCCACACAGTTTAACTTGAGAAAAAAAAAATAACGTTTTTTTTCATGACGAAACAAGATGTTAATAAGAATATTGATTAAATGTAGCATTCACATTTTTAAACAACATACGTATTCAATAATGTGTTATTGATGCATTTTAGGATTAAATAGAAGTGTCCTAACAGAAACCATAATTACAATCAATCATAACTAATCATAAATAATAATATTTATTAATTTAATCATAATCATAATTACACTTACAGTAAGTGTGAAATCAGTAGGGGTGTCCCCGACTAAGGATTTTCATAGTCGAATTGGAATTTTTGAATCTTGCTGATAGTCGACTGATAGTCGAATCACATGTTTGGGGGTGGGGCAAAATACATTACCAAGAGTCAAGTCAGACATTCAAAAGTCATACGTTAACACACAGGGAAAATGTGTAACGGATGCCTCGCAGATACAAAAATAATGTGTTATGTTTTGATTAAAAGACATAGTTAACATTAACATCAGTGAACATTTTTTACAGTAGTGCTCTCATTATAACGTTGACAGTAGTTATTAATGTTCTGCATTTCTGTTTTGAGCTGCGCACTGAAGATGATCAGTGAAGCATTTGATAGCAGGTTTTTAATCAATGGGATTTAACTCATCATTTATCTCATATAGAATATGCTTTGTTATTTATACAACATAACGTTAATATTAGAACTTATCTGCACAAAATGCCCCGAATGCACATGAACGTGTGCGCGGCTCAGAACGAACTGCTTTTGTGGACGTGTTCTTCACGCAACAACGTGCAGAAACACGGCAACTAAACTCTACAAATTCACAGTGTTTTATTATAATACTGTTCTCCTTATAATGTTTTGTATATGACAGTCCCAGTCATAATTATTAATATTCTGCATTGTTTGTCCTGCTCGCACTGCGTGCTAAAGAAATAATCACTGTATAGTACTACAATAAAGTGTTCTATGTGAAATCAAACATTTGAGCACCCCCGTATAGCCAAAATGGCACGATCATAACACCTCTGCAAATATTCCACTGTGAGATTGGTATTCGAATCAGGCTCCTCCTATTGAAGCATCGAATCTTCGAAAATTCGGGGTCACCCCTAGAAATCAGTTCAGATCTGAATTCAGCATCACTTACCAATGTACAGTAAAAAGTGCAGACAATGCCAGTGGCAAATATGGATCCCCAAAGATCAAATCCTGTCACTGATGACAAAAATATATATACAGATCTGTGTTTATGTAATTGACATTCAGTGTGAATGACTCTTATATTTAGATCTGACTTTTATCTAAGTCACAGTAACAATAAGCACAGTCTAATTTAACAAACAAAATACAGTTTATACAGTTTATATTAGTTGAATCATGGGAATAAACTCAACAGAGACAGTAGGTCAGTTTTTGTTGAAAACATATGCTGCATGAATAAATGTAATTTAATCATTTCACGCTATTTGATCGCTTTATCGGCTGTGAACATTATTCCCTTGTGCGGTTCACATGACAATTGTTATTCATGTAGAACACGTGAGTGACCTTCAGTGTGTAAAGGGCATCATAAACGGCATCTGTCTAGATAGGCAGCACACAGCGTTAGAAACTACTGCTCCAAAAGAAGCACACTTTAGCATACTTATACAGAAATAATACCCTTTAAAAGAATATATTTTGGTGTGAACTTAATGAAATGTTTTCGGGTGCTTAATTCAATGTTAATTGCAATTAAATTAAAATATTTTAGTATAAGAGATTAAATTGATATTGAATGCAGTGATCGGAACTTTAGAGTGCTTTTTGACCCACTTAAGTGGCACTTAAGAATCTTTATGTGTAATTTCAGAATAACTTCTAATGCCAAAAACATACTTTAAAAAATACTGAAATAATTTCATATGTATTGAAACTTGTGTCATACATTCAAATTACACGTGTTGCAATTTAAATTTTAACTTTGAATATAATATCAAATAACTCATGAGTTAAATTATAATCAAGTACTTCAGTACTTTACTCAATTGCTTTAGTATGTTAGTCAACATAAAAATTAGTGTACTTCTAGAAGATTATTAGGACCCACTTTATATTGTGTCTTCAACTATTATGCTCTTACATTTATTTAAATTATGTGTATTTAAACATGTATTTAAATTAATCATTTGATACAATTCGCTTATTTGTGTACATATCTTTTTTTACATTATACTTGTTTTTAAAAATACCTTCCACTAATTGCATCTGTAATTAATTTCTGTAGTTACATCTATAATTACAGTTGACCCTAAACATAACCATTGCATCAAACCCATCCCTAAATTTACCTGTATCCCACCTCAAAAGCAGAAAAAGTGATTTGAAGATTTAAGACTTTTTCACAATGGATCCCTTTTATTCAACAACCCACTCAGGTTGATGTCAAAGGGTTATTTTTCCCCCACAATATCTGTGTAATGAATGCAGACTGACCTTGATTGAGAGCTAAAGCTGGCGCATAAACTACCACACCGGTGTACAGAATCTGAAGAGGTAAAATCAGAACAATCAGCATAACAGCTGATCAAAAACCAAACAATATGTGTTTGAACATTCAATGCCACTTACCGTCTGAATGATATAAATGAAAGTGGCTGCAACTCGAACAAGCTTACAAAAACGCAACTCCAAATACTGTGAGAAAAACAAATCAGAACAAATCTGTATCATGCTGGAGGGCCCCAACCTGCATAACCACAGCTGACACGGCCTATGGGATTTATTACTAAAGTCATGACCTCCAAAAAGCCCAGCAACATCTGGCCAACTTCATCCTACATCAATACTTCATTTCTGTCCACTGGAGTAGATATGTGTTATATTGATGATTTTGATATGGTGATATTTGAAACCTGCTTTGATGACAAAGCAAATCTGAAATATACGTATCCATACCTCATATGTACTGGTGATGCCTGATCTGTAGAAGACAGGCAGGAAGAGCTCAGCGGTAAAAAACACCACGAACGTGTAGGCGACCCCAAAGATGACATACGAGGCCCCGTATCTGTACACATCTGACGGGGCCCCGATCACTGTGACCGCAGACATGAAGCTGGCGGTGAGAGAAAGGGCCACCGGCCCGCAGGACATCTGACGGCCCCCAACCAGAAACTCTTTAGATGAGGCTTTCTTTCTCTCTTTGATGGCGAAGAAAACCCCGATACCAGAGGAGACCACGAACAGAAAGGCAAACACCACATAGTCCCCAACCTGGAAGGTCCCCACTGTGTGACTTTTGTCCTCCATGCTTGAGGCAGAATCTGATCAAACTGCTAGTGTGGCTCCAGTTTCTCTAGTTCAGACACCTCACATGTTAATCATGTTAATCATTGAGGTTTTAACAGGTTAAAAATGCTTATGAGTCAAGACATGGGACGAGGGGTCATATTAGTCATTATATCACTCACGTTTGTCCTCGTGAATTTCCACTCAGGGATCTATCTATCTATCTATTTATCTATCTATCTATCTATCTATCTATCTATCTATCTATCTATCTATCTATATCTGTCTGTCTGTCTATCTATCTATCTATATCTGACTGTCTGTCTGTCTGTCTATATTTATCTGTCTATCTATCTATCTATCTATCTATATCTGTCTGTCTGTCTGTCTGTCTGTCTGTCTGTCTGTCTATCTATCTGTCTGTCTGTCTGTCTTGAGAGCTAAAGCAGGCGCATAAACTACCACACCAGTGTACAGAATCTGAAGAGTTAAAAACAGAACAATCAGCATTGAACAAACTATAAAATACATGTTTTAAATGTATGAACATTTAATCCTACTCACCGTTTGAATTATATAGAGTGGCTGCAACACGAACAAGCTTACAAAAACACATCTCCAAATACTGTGAGAACAACAAATCAGAACAAGTTTGTATCATGCTGGAGGGCCTCAACCTGCAGAACTACAGCTGACATGGCCTATGGGATTTGTTACTAAAGGTCATGACCTCCAAAAAGCCCAGCAACATCTGGCCAACTTCATCCTACATCAATACTTCATTTCTGTCCACTGGAGTAGATATGTGTTATATTGATGATTTTGATATGGTGATATTTGAAACCTGCTTTGATGACAAAGCAAATCTGAAATATACGTATCCATACCTCATATGTACTGGTGATGCCTGATCTGTAGAAGACAGGCAGGAAGAGCTCAGCGGTAAAAAACACCACGAACGTGTAGGCGACCCCAAAGATGACATACGAGGCCCCGTATCTGTACACATCTGACGGGGCCCCGATCACTGTGACCGCAGACATGAAGCTGGCGGTGAGAGAAAGGGCCACCGGCCCGCAGGACATCTGACGGCCCCCAACCAGAAACTCTTTAGATGAGGCTTTCTTTCTCTCTTTGATGGCGAAGAAAACCCCGATACCAGAGGAGACCACGAACAGAAAGGCAAACACCACATAGTCCCCAACCTGGAAGGTCCCCACTGTGTGACTTTTGTCCTCCATGCTTGAGGCAGAATCTGATCAAACTGCTAGTGTGGCTCCAGTTTCTCTAGTTCAGACACCTCACATGTTAATCATGTTAATCATTGAGGTTTTAACAGGTTAAAAATGCTTATGAGTCAAGACATGGGACGAGGGGTCATATTAGTCATTATATCACTCACGTTTGTCCTCGTGAATTTCCACTCAGGGATCTATCTATCTATCTATTTATCTATCTATCTATCTATCTATCTATCTATCTATCTATCTATCTATCTATATCTGTCTGTCTGTCTATCTATCTATCTATATCTGACTGTCTGTCTGTCTGTCTATATTTATCTGTCTATCTATCTATCTATCTATCTATATCTGTCTGTCTGTCTGTCTGTCTGTCTGTCTATCTATCTATATCTGTCTGTCTGTCTGTCTGTCTGCCTATCTATCTATATCTGTCTGTCTGTCTGACTGTCTGTCTATCATCTATCTATCTATCTATCTATCTATCTATCTATCTATCTATATCTG